ACCCCCACGCTCTCCTCCTCCCTCCCTTCGCTTGTCCTTCCCTCGGCAGGAAAGTTTTCAGCTTCTGCTTGAGCTCCGGCAGCATAAGGAGGAACAGAGAAGCAACCGAGGAAACCAAACTTTTGAGGCTCTGTGAATCTGTGGCCCGGCCCGGACACGTGCCGACTATGACCACACGGCTATTTCCATTTGTCAACATCAGGTGAAACTCAAACCGGTGTAACATGAGCGGCAGAGGCCTCTGGATGATCCAGCCGTCCAATTTCAGACACTTATATCACATGAAAAACAAGACACGCTTGCTTTCAGGTGGATGAGCACGCACACCATCAAGGTTGCTCCAACAACCTCACTATCTTTCTCTCACACACACACACACACACACACACCAAGCTCCTCCCAACCTCTATCTCTGCCCTTCATTCAGGTTTTATCCTCCCCCTCCTCTCATCTCTCATATCTTCCGCCCTTCCGGTTGTCCAAACTCAATGACACAGCAGAGAGCAGTGGGGACTGAGTAGAAAGCTGCATGCTAACTATGCAGGCAAATGTTTGGAATCTGAAAACAGGCTTATCAATCCAAGTTTAAATCTATTTCTTACATTTAACATTTTTGATAGGATGTGAAATCTCTTTTTTTAAGTTAAGGGTGCAGTTTGGGGTTTGGTAAGCTTTGATTTGTTTTATATATATATATATTTATGTATATATTAAAATGTGCTTGTTTATTACACTTATAAATTAAAAAAATAGTTTTTATTTCTGTCATTAAATACATAAACACAAAAAGTTAAGTGTGTATAAGAAGTGTTTTCACAAGTATTCCTGTTCAAGTGGGGGTCTGCTTGCATCTGTCGTGTGTTCGGGTAAAAGGTCTGTCCTAACCAAGCTCAACCCTGTCCGAAGGGCAAAAAAGAAAAGAAAAAGACAGAATATAAAAGAAAAAGTGGGGAGCAGCGGCCTAGTGGTTAGGGCTTGAAATCCTGAGGTTGTGAGTTGAAAACCCACTACCAAAGACTGTCATTCTGGATCAACGGACACTGCTCCCGGGGTGCCGCAAATGGCAGCCCACTGCTCCCCAAGGGGAAGGGTTAAATGCAGAGAGTGAACGATGCAAGCTGAAAAGCAAGGAAAATATAAAAAAGGACTAAGAAATTAAGAAAGAGACATAAAATTCAGAACAAAGATGAATAAAAAAAGGTTTTGAGATTGTTTCTCTTTAGCAGCGTTCTGTCATCACTTCAACCTCCGACTAATAGAAAACTCTGTAGTCCATGGGTAACTAACAGAACAGTTAGCCTTAGGGTTGGCATTAGCAAGATCTATTCTGAATTAAATAGCTAAACGTGCCAAATTTTAGGTAGTTGCCTATTAATAAAATACATTAAAATCAAAGGTAAAAGATCTACAGATATGCTAGTTTACTTTGGGCAAACGTCTGGAGGTGAGTTCACCATTCATACATGTGCAACTTCAGAAGATGGGCAATTTTATTTCAGTTCCTACATCACTCTACTCCGTCTTCATACAATTGTCATTTCTAAAGATAAATCAGAATCAGCTAAAACTCTTATAGCAGTAAGGAGCTTCAGAAATATTAGAAATTACCCATAAATTTAGGATCTGTTTATCTCTTCTCACCAGCAAACCTAGACCTGCTGTTGGCGTTCGCCATATCTGTTCTAAAAGAGATGGCTCACAAATTCCACTCTTTACTTCTTTGTTATATTGAAAAAATAAATCTATTCTAATGTGCAAAAATGCTTTTATGCCTTCATGCTTTTGTGCCTTCAGGTAAGGATTTCAAGGCATCTTACCGCTCAGTAATGTGGGGAGGCCCTGAACTTTTCTGGACTTTTCTAATATTTTATTTCTACCTCTCTTTGAATATTGTTCTTAAAAATAAATTAAAGATTGCTTTAACCTTTACTAGTAAGTTCAACATTTACGCTATCTGGATTCTGGAATACACCCATGAAATGATGGGGATCTCGCACACTGCTAGTCTTGCAATTAGCATGAGCAACTTAAAGATATGGCCAAGAAAAGTTAGGCTTCAGAGCTCTACTGTTTATATAATATACATCAAATACAAATAGTGATACCCTGATGTGTAAAAATGCAATCGTGATTTAGGTAAGGCTCTGCAGCCACGTAATCATGTTGCATGAGCTCTGAATATTACTACCAAAGCCTATAATAAAGTCGTTCTCACGATGTCCGCTTCCCAGGGTGCTGTAAAACTATCTGATGCCATAGCAGTGGGAGTCTGAGATCGGTACAATCACCAGTTATTCTAGATAGTTAAAAAGTGAAGGTCATATTCTCAAGTTCTGGCTTCTCAGACGAACAGAAACAAGTGTCAGCCGAGATGCCGATCAGCCTTTCGAGCGCAGGCTTAAAAATACTCATTTCTATACGTTTCTATTGAAGCGTACGGCTATTGTCTGAAGAACAAGTGTTTGCTGACAAGTCCATTAAACTTTTCTGTGAGATTATGAAAGGTGGCATTCACATTTTTCCCCCGCTGTCTCTTCACATCTCCCTCTTTGGGTTTTTTTTTCACTCTGGCTCTCCGGCCATCTCTTTCTAAACAGGCCAGCAGACAAAGTGTTCAGTCAAGCCTTCTAATCGCCTGCTCACATGGGTGAGCGGAGTCCCAACTTTATTCTCCCGTCTGCCACAACCGTGCTGCATTTTTCATCTTATCCACTTTTTGGTCGACACTCTAATGCATCCACTCATTTTTTTTGTTTGTTTTTTTTTTTGTAAAAAAAAAAAAAAAGCTGGACGGGAGGTTTGGGATGAAATCAGGTTTCCTTTTTGGTAACCTAGTTTCAGGTATGCAGAGTTGGTGAGGCGAGGATAGGGAGGTATAAAAACAGGGAATCCCTGGCTTTGGCAGAACTGGCTATACGATCAAAGGATCTGAAATGCTAATTGTAGCATGGTCTGTTAATACCAGTTTTAAACACGTCTGGGATGTCGATAAGTTCTGCTTCTAGCCTTGGTCAGAAAAGGACTGTTTTTGGCTTAGGGGGCTTACAACACCTCTACCTCAGGATTCAGATGTGTTTCTCAAACAAACATGCCTGGTGCAGCGTTTCTTTGGCCTGGAAAAATTCACCAACAGGGGCCCAGATTTGTTCAGTTAGAAAACCTGCATAAACAGACAACTCCAACTCCTAAGGTTTTGGTTAAAAACGCCCGAAAGGTCGACATGACTTTGCTTTAGAAGTAATGCTGCAAAATAAATAAACCCCAGAGCGTATCAAAGAGTGGCGTAAAATGCATAGTGCATTCAGTGTTTTTCCTGCGAGGCGGAGCCAAGGGATAAAAAAATAAACAGGACAGTGGGCTCTGTAACATCTAAACCTGCACCTTGTAGCCAGGCTCAGATAATAAACAAGAAATACCTCCTGCTCAGCGGGAATGCACTGTGGGATTGCTGCTATCCATGATACAGCTCTGGTCTCACGTGTCCAAATAGTCCAAATATTCCTTCGTCCTGCGGAGGGAGTGTTGTCTTAGATATGAGTGTGTGTAATCACCGAGGAGAACTGATTCAGCACACAGCCGCAAACTGCCATTTTAGAAAAGCTCATCCATGTCAGCACGGCCTACCTGAATGGGGGAGATGGTCACACGTGGAATCTGTATCCACGACTAATAATTAAGGCGTTTAAATTTTAACCAGCACCTGAAATGTGGTAATAGCGCAGGCATGAGTCAGAGGCCAACGGAGTGGGGGAGAGAAAGAGAGAGCTAGAAAAAGCCCAGCCAGACACAAGACAGAAGGAGTTTCACGCTGTTAATTTCTTCCAACCCATTAGGCCAACAACCTAAAGCGGTGCTCATTTTCAGACTGTCCTGCTCACCGACAGCAGCACAAGCACACACTTAATGTTTGTGACAACTTGATCAGCGCCTATGAGCCCCACTGTCTGTCTGTATTTCCACAAATGTATGCAAGCTCGCCTCCCTCTGCAGCCATGACGATGACACTGTCACACTTTCATGCGGGTGCACGCGCATCTTTCCATTCATGCAAATGCACACTTCTCACTTTTCCTTTTTTTCATTCTCTCTCTCTGTTTTGGGAGGGTGGGCAAAAACACACTGGATTACAGCGGGACAATAGGCGAAGGCAGGTCACCACAGCAACAAGCAGAGAGGGGCAGGAGCAGGGGCTCTTTATGTGGAACGGGATGGTGTCTGAAGTACTGATTTTGGGGAAGAAGGCGGGGGAGGATATTCCAGCAGTTGCGTTTGATAAGTTAATAAAACTCAACGCAACTCCAAATGTAAGGCATTATGGATAGCTTTCATGTATTTTTGTCCCATTAGTGAGTAATGTTTTTTCCCCTTTAACAATCACTTGTGCTCCATCTCAGCACCCCTCCCTTTTCTCTGCCCTTCAACCTTCCCCAAGATCCCCTCCCTCTGTCTCCATGGGGGGGCAACTCCTTCCCTTTCAATCCCCATGCCATCTCCCTCTTCTATTCACCGCCCGCTCTCTTGCTCCTTCCACCCTCTCCCCCGGCCACTCATCTATCTCCACAGCATGGGCTGCTTTTTCTTTTCTTTTTTTTTTTTTTTTTTACCAAATTTCATTCAAAGCAGCCACAGAAGGACAAACTCAGAGGCTGAACAAAAACCCAGCTATTTGATTGGAAATGAGCAAATAAAAAGTAAACAAATGAGAGAAAGGAAGGCATAGAGTTAGGAAAGTGAAGAGATTAGCAAAGCTACTGATGAATGCAGAGTCACTTTTAATGTCACCTCGCTTGTATCAGTTTTTCTTTTTACTTTTTAAAAGAAGAACAACCATTTAGAGGAGAAATAGCTATTAGTAGCTGGAAATATTGCATTGGGATTCCTGCCCAGTGGCCCTTTCCATCTGTAGGGAGAACCTTCACATCTGAAATGCACACAGAAAACCTGCAGTCTACCTCAGGGAAATTCATTTAACAACAGCTAAAAACTGACACACTTATTCAAACATCGACCCTGAGACTTCAAGACATCGTGCAAAAAAAAAAACAACTAGAGCCTAGAAACAAAACTAGAAAGCAGAAAAAGGCAGCCAAATAGATTAGAAATAAAATAAAATGTACCATGAACCTATATATTCAAACCACAAATATCTTTATGTTCAATGTTTATAATAAATATGGTTTAGTTCTAAACCTAATTTGTGAATCATATATGGTTGGCCTAATAAACAAATTAAAAACAGGCATAAAAGACTGAAAATAAACATTAAAAAAATAAAAGCAGTAGACATGAATGGCCATACAACATAGAGAGTATTCAGTGTAAAGATGGAGGCAATCCATTCCACAATCTGGGGGCCACACTTCTAGAGTATTTTAAAGATTTTAAAATTTGTTTTTGGAAAGATTAAGACAGACTGGGGCCTAAAGAGCTAAGGACAGGATTTCTAAATATAAAGTCTTAAATGTAAAGAGATTAAAACAACCCTCTTTTTCATGTCTGGAATTTGCTAATTAGCAGAATATAATGTCAACTTGTGCTTCACAGAACACAAATCCCCTTTCCTTACATGTGAAGAAACTTTAATCACCACTAGCAACTGCAAAGTTCAGCCAAAACGCATGAATTTAAAGGGAAAGATTAACAGATTTTATGTCTCACTATCACTGCTAGGAGTTTTTCTTTTCTCTTGTTTTATCATAATTTTATAAGATAATTTCATTTCATTTCACAAAGGGACTTTGAATCAACAGATCATGTCATAAATATATCCAATGATTTCTATTAAATTAGTTATATAACTTTTAGGCTTAAAAAAAAGAAAAAGAAAATGAGACTCTAGGTTTCATTTTGGTCCCAATCATGGCAACCTTCTCTGCATACTCAGCCATTGCATGCAAGTTTATGCAAATCTTCGTTACTTAGCCCCGTCAACGTCATTGGGCTTTGGAAAAGTCATAAGTCATTGACTGCTGGTTTATTTTGTTTACAGCCTGTTTTGTTTTTTTTATGCAGAGGCTACAGAGACTTTTTAGAAAAGAGTTAAAGAGCTGAGAAAATGTGATAAGGTGAGTTTATTGGAATGAAAATAGGAGTCATATCTAGTGCCATTCAGATGTTTGACAGCAATAGAAACTCACCTTCCCAAACTGATCGAAGTATTGCTTTACATCCTCGATGGTTGTGTTGACCGAAAGCCCTCCAACAAAGATCTTCTTTGTTCGGGTGACAAGCTAGAAACACAATCGGAATGACAAAATGACTTTTATGAGATGCAGAGACTTTCTTTGAAAGGACATTAATTTAGTAAAGTAAGGTTTATATTTAAACACTATTTTAAAAGTTTAATGTGTTCTTAGATGTTCATCAGATGAGAAATGTCCAAAATGTATTTATAAGGGAACCAGTTAGTTAAACATGTCTCTGTTCATTTCAGGAGGTCAGGGAGTCATGGTGTCAGATCTTTTCTGGTTATGTGCCTGACTTTTATCCCAGCCAACCAGGGTTTAGGGATATATTACATCATCATCAAGCTGTTTATTATTCTGGGGTGGGGTGCGATGGGAGGAGACTCACCTTAGGCTGAGCCCTGCGAGGAAAGGCCACCTTTGGGTCGATCTGCAGGGGAGAGATTTAAGCCCGGTTATAAAAGCTGGGAGAGAATACATAAAATTAAAGATTGATGGATTATTTTAAAACACGAAGAAAAAAAAGGGAAACCCCTCCTGGGTTTGCTGTTTTTATGGGCCGTTTCATTTATGTTAAAGATTAATTACATCCTTTAGAGATCCACCTCACACTGAGTTACAGCTCAGGCAACTTCACAACAAATGAAAAGGATTTAATGAGCTGCATTAAAAAATACATCCTGACCTAGAAGATTTGTCCCTGCTTAAAGGACATCATCTTTTGCACTTAAGATAAAAAAAAACATATTGAAATATCAGGGGAAAATAATAATTTATGTAACCAAACCTATCAGACCTCATGTGAAAAGATACTCTGATGATTATCTAATATTTTCTGGAAGCTAAAAGTAGAATTTCACAACTTGAACGCTGGTCTTATCTGCTGCCAGAACTAAACAATAAAACAGGACCTATCTAACAACATGAAGTAGGCTAAAAGATTAAAGCAACTCCTCACATCCCACGCTAAAAAAAAAAAAAAGGTTAAAGAACAAAGTCAGTGTAAAGTGAACCTCACCTGGAGTCTGCTCAGATCACAAAAAACTCCTAAACTTCATTCATCGCAAGTATTATCTGTCCCAGATAAGTTTTCAAAACAAAGTAACCAACTAGTCTGTCGCTTATATACCAGAAAAAAAGACGGTCTCTAAGCATTAGGGGGCGGTATTTCAGAAATGCAGCATCTTGGTAACATCTTAACGCTCTCAGGCTCAAATTAAGTTGTAGTTGCAGGAACAATCTGATATTTGGAGATAATGATCATGAGAGGTAGTAATACACAATTCAGACTTTTTTTTTGAGAGAGACCTTCACATGCAATAAATTCTGGGATGTTGCAGATTTGCAACAGTGGCATGGAGTGGTAAATTAACACTGAAGACTGAATCTGATATGAATGTTAACTTAATTTGAATGTCACAAACAAAAAATTAAGAAAACAAAATTCGAAAAAAAAAGTTCTCTCACAAAATTAGAGACAACTTTTTCTCAAACTTTTTCTCCACCAACATCTCAAAACCTCTCGAGAAGGCCGTTTCTGTTAAAATGTTGCTCAAAATATTGGCAAACTAGTAGCTAAAGCATGTAGCATCCATTTGTACCTGTTTGGGCACAGGTTGTGAATCCACAACATTGAAATCTAGATGCCTCTGGCGAAAAACCCAGAGGAAATAAAATCTACTAATTGCCATGTGTCATATCTATACACATTCATGATTCATCTTATGTAATATTGATTTCAAAATAATAGAAATTGGTAGAGATACTTAATTGGTGCTTAGAAAATCTGTTTCAGTGACACCAAGGACTCAGCTATGTTGAAAGTGAGTTAGCAGTGCTATCTGGTGAGCTGGAGAGAAACTGTTTGTTGCAAATGCACAACTAAGTCCTTCTGTTGTACTTCTGAGTAACAAAAGCTCTTAAAATATGGATGTGGAGTAATTAGCTAAGTAGGATTTAGCTGTTGCAAATCTGCAACATTTGCCTGGAGAGGGTTAATATTTTGGAGGTCTGGGGTAGGTTGGATGCTCAACAATCTAGACAACCTGTCATAATTGATGAAACCATTATTTCTGCTCATGACCAGAAAATGCTAAAGGAGAATAATTAAGCCTTCCTTCAATTCATGACCTTAATCTGAAACACTCTGGTTGTGCAGCAGGACAGAGTCCTAATGCCTAAAAGAAAATATAATGCTGTAGTGGCCTAGTCAAAGTTACTTGCCTTTCTTCCAACTAAGATTCATTGACATGACCTTAAGCAGGCTGAATTAAAAGGGAAAAAAATGTAGAAAATTTAAGAATGAAAACAATTGTGTGGACAAGAGTGGACCAAATTCCTCCAGAGCCGTGTGATAAAACAAACTGCTTCTTCTGTCGTCTGTTAAACGTCGGCTGTTGTTTCTCAGCGTGGCCCAAATCATCGCTATATTTAGCTATATTTATTCCTCACAGCATCAAGTTGTTTTGGATATCCCTTAGCTCTCCTGTTCAGAGAGGTCGTCTTTCATATCAACATTTGTTTCATATCTAAAAAGGGTCAAAGAGGCAAAAACAGAAGAAATCCTTACAGAGGGGAATAAATCTTCAAAGCATAGCAAAGCATCAACAACATAACACAAGAAATGCAAACTATAATGTAGCATACTGTTTGAGCTTAGACTCAGACCACTATACAAACCTCAATTCACAAAGTTCCCAACTCTTTCTGCTCTATATTCTGGTCAGGAGCAAAGAACTCTTGCTGTGGTAACTATAACCCAAATTAGTCAAAACAAACAAGCTTTTAAATCTGACTACTTGGAGAGCTAAACTCCAGAAATAGAACGTATGCTAATCTGTGAATATGTATAGTAAACCCTTGTTTATGCAAGCCCCCACAAATCCAAACCCAGCAGCCAAACAAACAGTCAACGGGAACAAATTAGTCAGTGAGACGACAATTCATACTCTCTGAATTTTCTCCTGGACCCGTCCAGCCACAAAACTAGACAAAGCGGAGCGGTCTAAAAATCTAAAATGAGCATTTAATATTCTGACTACATTTAAGATGGATGTGTTTGGGTTTTTTTGTTTTTTTTTTCCTCTAAGTCTCACAAATCCTGACAACCACCATTTTGGATTAGTCAGATTTGACTGTATCAAGAGTTCCCAGCCCCCCCAAATGGAATGCCTCAGCAGTGGTCAAGGTTGCGGATAAAATTAGAAATAAATGAGCTTTGAATGAGCTGGCATTTTGATAATGTTAAATATGCAAAGCCCAGCCTGGTATTTTATATATTTGCATGGAATTGTGTGTTATTCTCACTCAGGCCAGCTGAGAGAGATGATTTTAGGTCACAGGACCCTGTAGTGTATTATAGTCTTAGGCTTTCCATCTATGTTGCAATAATTGGATCTGTAAAGCAAAGCCTCTTGTGTCTCGCACGGTCGCTATTAGGTGTATTGAATTGCAACTGGCAACGATAGAGAGTCTGTCAAATAGCCAAAAATAATTAAATATAAAGCGGACAATATACGCATTATTAAATAGGTTCCTCATTCAGTGTTTTTAAAAAGAACCTTTCATCTCTTTACAGTGATAATTGCCCGCTTCTGATGGCAAATACATCCTTTGAGGGCCTTTAAGTGCCTCAGATTTCCACCACTCTGAGAGCACAGTGCTGTGTAACTAAGATGCAGCTGCAGCGCCCTTGAAAGGGATTGCAGAAGGACTTTGCACCTTGAAGTGGGACGCAAAGATGAGAGGAGTCATGTCACCTCCAGCTGGTCTGAGCACAAAGAGGAAGGTGACAGGGACTTGCGAGGCCGACGGCGACAAACGGCAGCACAACGCAGCGAGGTCACGCAAAAAAAGGCAACAAAGCAGTTTTTATAGTATCTGTGATTAATGTAACATCATAGATCTGTGTGATAAGGAGATTGAAATTAATACCACTTTCTGTCCTTAAACAGGATACTTAATCAGTACAGTGCGCAGCACAGAGCAATACAGACAGCTTTTTCCTTTTAAACAAAAAAAAAAAATGGTTACCAGAATGGAACAAATGTGAAAAGACAACCATGCTTCTATATATTTTTTTTTTGGTGCAAAGTCGGGGGGAATGTTCTTGGCTTTTCTGGCTGACCTGGAAGTGACTTCTAAGCCGCTGGTGTTGAAAACAGCCCACCTGCTTTTAAACGGTCAGACATGACCAGAAGAGTGAAGCCGCCTGAGGCCATTAAGAGGCAGAGACACTGACACACCGCAAGCTGGCAGCGATCAGGCGCTGAATCACATTTGACACAAAACTGAAGTCACAAAAACTTGCTTAAATAAATAAATAAACAAGAACAGGGGCGAATGACGCTCGTTTTGCATCATCTTGTGATTTCTTGTAATCATGTCTGCGTTTGTCAAATGCCTGGATCAGCTTTGAAACCAAATTTGTTTTACTGATTGAAATCATATGCAGCAAATGTTACAACACATTCAACCAGGTTTTATTTGAAAGGGGGAAAAAAACAACATAAAAATTCCTGGTTATTAAACACATCAGGGCTTAAAACTAGTTTTTTGTTGCTGAATGCATCCATATTAGCAAACAACACATTGTTTCAATGGCTCACAACGCTTTGGAAACCATTGTTTTTTTCTAAGTCATTACTACAAGAAAAAGGTCCTGCAGCATTTTTAATATCTATCCCAAATCTTTATATATCTACAAAAATTAGGCCGTTTGGAAACTCAAAGCTTGTTACTAAAGGTTTTTCATCCAAAAAGATTTTTTCTGAAACATGAACAGAAAATTGAATGTGGTGCAGAACAAAAATATAATATTTATTTAAAATACATATAAATAATTACTTTAAATAATTTTTGATGGGTCTAAAATATGTAAATACTGACTTCTAGTTATGATGCCAAAATAAGGACGAAAAGATTCTGCACCAGTAGGAATACTGCGCTGAAGTTATGCCAAGACGGAGTTTAGGTGCTGCCAGATTTTAATACTTCTGTATTATACCTGAGAAATCGCTTTCCTAATAGAAAAAAATAAAAGATTTAAAGGCCAGCTTAGGGAGGCAAAAGCAATTCGTGCAAAAGCAAAATGAGGCTTGCAAAAGTAGCGGACGGAGAAGGCAAATGTTTCATATTATAAACCTGCTGGAAAATTGTACGAAAAGGGCGGACGACTGCAAGATCGCCCCCTACTGACCGGGAAGCTTTATAATTGTAGCTATAACTTTTAAATCTTTTTTGACAATCAGCAAAGCGCAAAACCTTAAAACTCGCAGGTGTTGTTGAGAAGCAAGCAAGTTTTTAATAAACGAAGCGCCCTTAAAGATAATCATAAGATTGAAGAGATTTAAGAAAGGTATACAACTTTAAAATAATAGACAATAATCATTATTTTTTATATTATATCTTGCAATAGTCAAACACTTCATT